TGAATCACCTCAATCGAACATCAGAATATAAAGGTATGATAACAACACTGAAAGAAAGTGCATCTGTCTGTTTAAAACAAGAAATTCCGTTATATAGTCCGTTAAAACAACAAATTTCGTTAGTTTTTCCGTTAAAAACAAGAAATTCCGTTACATATCCACTTTTAATATATAGAGGATATATATATATTGGAACTCTTGTAATTTTATGTTGTTAATGTTGGAAAAAAAAAATTCAAAATAAAGTGAAGTGAATGACAATTGTAACAACAAATTTAATATGTTTCAATTTCCTAATTAATTTGTCCAATTGAATTTGTGATTACAAAGCCCTAATGGCTATTGTAACGATTTTATGTTAATGAAAATTAATGGGTTCTCCTTATTCCACACATCGAACTTTGAGAGCTATCTCTTTTCTCTAATTTTTTCTTCTCTCTCTTTGCTTTCAAGAGTTTTGTTCTTAGTAACTTTGATAATTTTTGTCCTAGCTCAGTGATAAAAATGTGAGCATCATTAGTTCGCCTAAAGTAGTGACAATGTGCTAGTCAGCTACTTTCAGATGTGGTATCCTGGGAAACAGACGTCATCAGTCCTCATGCACCACAGTGAGGCGAATCTGTTTTAAAGAAATTGTGTGCAACACAGGTCTCGATCCCTTCAAATACCGCTACTACATTAACAACTATAATTTCCCTATTTTATTGTTACTCTATTTGTTGTAATGTTTCTTTCCATTTATTTATATAGTTCCAGCAATATTTCTAATTTCTTTTTGTATTTTTCCTAACAGTCAACTTGTTATTTGTTAGTATTTGTGATTCTGATGAGCTTCTGTAGCTGAATTTGACAGTCACATGTTGATCTGGCATGTTGTTCTGTGGAAGAGACAAACTAGGTTCTTCGCTCTGTTTTGAGGTTTATGGATAATCATTTGAAGTACATCTGATTAGGCTTCTAGTTTTTCTGGCAATTCCGAATTATTACAACGTGGAGAGTTTTATAAAAGTGGTTTCGTATCAATGGAAATTCGCAAATGTGGGCTTTTTTCGGAGGACAGAAGCATCTCCTTAATGTTCGAGCCGATCTTGTGCATTCCTTCGAGAACGAAGTTAAAACATTTGTTTCTATGTGTATTTTGAATAGTTTTTCTGGTTTTAAATTTTTGGTACATATTTGCAGATCGGAGAACTTGATTACAGTCCCAAGGAAGTCATGTGAAGGCCTTCAACCATTCACTATATTATCTGGTGAGCCCTAACTCATGTTTTGACGATAGTATATACTTTTCTACACATTGAAGTAGATGAGCGAGTTTTTTCCTTTTTAAAGGCGAGTTTTTCCCTTTTTAACTCCATGTAATTTTACGTGATCTTGTTCCTGTTGAAGTTACTAGTATTTGGTGCTCAATAGATTGATATGCATATGGTCATGATATGTGAGATCTCGAGAAAACTGCACAAGTGAATACATTACCTAGAGAATAAAACCTTGACCAAACTTCTATACTCTTGAATGGAAAAATAGAATGATTCTTATTTATTTATATGTTTATTGAACAAAATTAAGGTAACACAAGTGAGACGAAATGGAAACAATATTTCGACCATTTATTCCTTCTAATTTATGGTAGCAAAAAAAAAAATTGAACTTGCATAAAGAGGAGACATTTATCCCCATGGTTATGTGTTCAACAAGAATCAAGGAACAAGAATGAAAACCTAGTAGCTCTAAGAAAAACAGCAAAAGTGGTGATATGCTGTTGCATTATTCTACTGTGTTATTGCACTTCACTTGATCGACAGCAGACTGGAAGAGAACTTTGGTTAGCTGTGATGACATTACAGAGCGAGTTGCTCTTCTAGGTGGGCAGGTGTGTGTCGCCACTTGACTAGGCACGGAGAGACACCCTTGGGCTAGGAAGTCCCATATATGCAAGCCGAGGTGACATTCGTATTTTCGGGCTTGGTCGTGGAGATGGGATGGGCAAACAACTCTTCAGGTGGCCTGGTGTTATTGTAGGCGATAAATTTACTCTTTCTAGTGCCTCAGACTGAAGCTCCATCGGGTAGTCTCGAACACATCCGATGCGGGCCCCAACTCCAGTAGTCCACTTGCAAGATAAAGTCCTGGGCAAGTCAAGTTTCGGTGCTTCTATATTAGCAGTGTTGATTGATGTACTGCCTTTATGAGGTGCCTTGAGTGTATTAATGTCTGGTCCCTCAACATTGATAGCATCTTCCTTAAATGAGGTTCTGTCATCATCTATTGCACACCTCTGTGGATAAAGTGGAAAACATCAAATATTGTTGTTACATAGTGTTCATACAAACTATACAACATAGGATAAAGCTAACTACCTAAATCTGAGGTGGGTATTTAATTAAATACATGCCTTAATGTTTATATATTTTGCTATGTTCTTATTTGCAGTATGCACTATAGCCAGAAGGGTTAGTAGAATACCTTAACATTTGTTAAATCTACATGATTCTCCTCAAGAAACATGATGAATTCCTTGAAATTATCTTCAGTCGGAAGATAGTGACCGCTGTATGGCCATATTGCCTGAAGAAAACAAGAATGAATAAGCACGCACATCATATAAACAAACAAATAAAAATAATCGAATAAATTATACGTAGATGCCCGTAAGTTGTACCTCTAGAATACCATGATGAGCAACTAATCTACCAGCAGCTGTTGTAGCTGCACCAGATAGAAAACTGGAGTGCTGAAAAACACCTTTTCTCTTCTGTGCTACATATAGAGTTCTTGATGTGCTAAGGACAAAAATCCATTTTGAGCCTTCAGTTGTATCCAAGAGAATCCCACTTTGTCTGTATGCTAATTTCCCTTCATCTACAATCACTTCGTATATTTCTCTCTGTTTCTGTGAGATAAAAGGTTGGCGAAGAACATTTTCAGACAGGCAAATGCTTCACTAATGTGTGTGCGGTAAACAATTTAATCTAAGCGGGATAGTTCAGTTACGGTAAATAATCCTATATTATATATGTAAGAATACATGGGTGACTTTGGCCTATATGAGTTAGCTTTTGCTTTTTTGTAGATGAGCTTCATGAAGAAGCCGCCTTGGACAACTTTCTCTAAAAATTATCGGGCAAAGTACTTCCAGAAATTATACAGACAAATCAGCTTCTTAATGTAGTTTTTGGTTTTTTAGAAGTCGTGCCAAACATGTCCTTAATATGTCTCTAAATCGAAACCCACTTATCCAAGATTGAGACAATGAGTATATAGTATAATTAGACTCAACACAACGCATCAAAAGTAAGCAAAGTACACATTAATCTTGGGTTTAAGACAGACATATTTAGGAAAAAAAATTAGTGAGATAATGCTTACTGGTCCAAGATATTCTATGCATTGACGTTGCAGATTGACTCTGGGGCAACGTTCAAGATTTACGTCCTTACCATCGCCAACATCCAACCTTCAAGGCAAAGATAAGGCAAAAAACATGAGCTCCAAATATGAAGCAGTTTCATATGGATGTGGTGCTTCTATAAGAAAAAGGTATTACCAATAGAAGAACGGTTGAAAACTTTTGCTCTCCGACCATTCATCATAGTAGAATTGTAAGTTGTGTCCATAGCGATGACGAGGGTCAATCTGTGGGAAAAACACGAGTAACTCTCAGATGATCGTTATGGTTATGTGGTGGATAGTGCAGCAAATTGGCTGCAGGTACACAGGTGAAGAAGAGTGCTAGCCCGGCCACCCGACCAACATATCTTATGTATATGTCGATCTTTCATGGATATTAGAATGGTGTGAACACAGTAAGATAGTAACAAACAAATTTATGGAAAGTGTAAGGCTTACAGCTTCAAGCCAATGTTGCAGTGCTAGTTTCTGAGCTTTCTCGTCCTTGGATAAACCTTTGCCAACCTATGAGAAGAAAAGATTTCTCGGGTTAATTCTGAGCTAGACTTTTCTCTATATAATAGTATTTGTACTTGTACATCAGATTAAGTGCGCAGAATACCTTAGCAGCCCTTGTCCTTGCACGAGCCCACCGGGACACAGCAGTTTCGTGTTCAGCTTCGTTGAAGAACGATATCGAGCTCTGTTTCAGAGCTGCAGAATCCAAGGTCTTCCACCTACAACATAGAATGAATTGAGCAATTCACATAAAAGGGTATATTAAAACATGAAAAAGTTATTATGGCACACACCAAAGCTCTTCAACAATAACTGCACAATCTGCAAGGTTCCTTCTCGTCCGGTAACTCTTGTAAACTTTCTGAAGTGTCGTCGCGGCAGAATTCAGCTCGTTAACAGGTCTCGGGGAAGAAAACACGAAGGGTTCTTGAACAGGAAATGCAATCTCGGGTTTCGACTTCTTGACTTCTGAATAATCTGAGGTTTCGTTCTCATTGTCTACGACCAATTCTTTCAATGGAACATGTGTTTTTAGAGTTTCTTTTTCAGGTTTTGAGTGTTTCTCCATATCTTTATTCTTGAAGCTGAGTGATTCCATCGAGATTAGTTCTCCTTCTTTGCTTCCAAAGCTTATTGATCTGGCAATAAATGTTTCCACAGTGTCTGTCAAATCATAAAACAGATGGCCCAAAATTTTATTGCATACTGATGAAAGTAGTGAAAGAGGAAGCCCCATTTGTTATCACCAGCAGGAACTTCCAAGTTCTTGATTCCAGATGAACAAAATCCTGCAAACCAAAATTCATCACACATTAGGATTGTTTTCAATAATGATAGCAAGTATCTAGAAAAGAAAGATCTTTCCTCACGCATCTCTTGCGCACCGATCAAACGTACCTTATAAATTCTTTCTAGGTGCAGGGATATTAGGTCCTGGTCGAGAGATAATCAGCAACTCTTAAAACAAAATAATACGTAGCTAGGACTACTGGGATACACACATATATATAGAGAAGTTGTCCCTTTGAATTATGAAAATTCAAAGTCTTGCTGGTAAACGATGCGGCAAAAGACGAATGTGGAAAAGAAAATCCAAACTACCCACCAAAAAAAAAGTGTGGAAAAATGGGGTCTTTATAATTATTGAACCTTCGAAGAAGTTCAAATGAAGGATTGAAGAAGCATCAATTTTTACTATTTTTCTAACAATAAAAATGCACTTTAAAAAATTATATATTTAGTCAACTAAAGGCTCCTTGATTTGCAGAATTTTTGTGGGTCTTCTTCAACCAAAAAAAAACTGGTACTTTTCTTGAAGGTTTACTTTTACATTTTTTTTTTCCACGTAAAAATTGATTAAATATGTGATCGAAAAGTTGATAAAAATTATGAATCTTATAACAATTATATTTTTAGTAAATTTTAATAAAAATTAATAAAAATTACGAATTTCATGAAATATGTAGCTGAATTGACCAATAACACCAAAAAAATTTAATGGCCTTGATCTTATAAAAATAATGGGTATGATAAAATATGTTCATTGTTGACATAGCAACGCCACATTAGTGGTCAAGTTTATAATTTTAAAATGTAGGTTTCTCCCTTGATCTGACACCATCACGTTATCGATGGCTAAGCCAACTATTGCCCACAGAATAGATGATTGATCTGACACTTGCATGATGTGTACTCAAATAATGTTTACTAATATTAAAATTTCAAGTGAAATAAAAAAAAAAAAGGAAAATAATCATTTTCTTTGTTTTTAAATGATATGGACGATTCAACGTGTCCACTTGGACAAATTTTACTCGAGGTCACTTAAGTTACATGTTAGTTTTATATTGGCCATCCAACTTCAGTTTATTTTAATTTGATCACCTAACTTGTATTTGTATTTCAATTTTGATACATTTGTCGTAATTGTTATGAAAACTGAAGGAACCGTGACCTGAGCTTTGAGAAAATATACATATAGTTCAACAAATATAAGTTGGATCACGAATTTCGTTGGCAAAGTTACGAATTCTGTCATTCTTGATAAGGAATATAGATAGAATGGTAAAGAAAAATATAAAGTTACTGATCAAATAAAAAAAAATAGAAGTTAAATGATGAATATGAAACAATTCTGTAAATTTTGTAATCTCAAGTGATATTTCCCCTCTCCATTTGCATCAACTTACCTAAGAAAAAGGTAGTATATTGCTCGTACACGCTACATGGTCTGCATGTATAAATTTGCATTCATTGGTTTCACTTTCGGGAGCCCACTAGGTCTCAATTTGATTTTTGTGTAGTCAGAATTCAGATGCCGTACGAATAATGCTTCTTGAACATGCTCAATATAACAAGATGGAGGGACAGAGTGATGTGACAGATAATAATTAGGTGTTTTGTTTTTATTTTTTTCAAATGATCAAATCATGTGTTGATATTATTTCCTTTTTTTAACATATCCTTGAGTCTGTTTGTCTAACACAGTTGCTACTAAAAAACATGAAAAATACCACTTGTACAATCATTAGAGAACGGTAAAAACCAACCATCTCTATTTAGTGTGGGACCCACTAGTTAATTAATTAGTGGGTCACACACTAATTAATGACCGTAAGTATAGCATTATTCAAAAAACATTTCTATCTCAAAATTTTGGTCGTGATTACGAACTTCACTGGCCCCACCTCCCTCCGCCGTGACATGACATGACCCAATAGAATAAATGACGTTAAATAATACTAAAAAAGAAGAGTTCCATCGGTGGTGGTTACAAAAAGCATTATTCCACTATGAAATAAAGGAAAAACAACTAAAATGTTATTTAGAGCATGTTTGATTAGGCTTAAAATTCAATTAAAATTGAAAATATAACTATTATTGGGTCTCACTTGTATAATAAAAGTCAACACTAACGACTAATTTTTCAATTTTAATCACTACAGAACACGCCCTTATTGTATTGCTCAATTCTGTTTAATATAGTGTATTATACACACGGGGGCTTTGAGTAGTGTGAAGGGGCGAACATAGGGGTGGGCATGAGACCCCCAACTTTGAGGTCAATTTTTTTTTCTTATATTTTGGTCTCAATTTTTGAAGTCATTATGGGATGTCAAATAAAATCGAAATATTACATTCTTAATATCATTTTGAAATGCTCGTGACCTAGTTTCAACGTTGTTAATGACAAGCAAAACGGCCAATCGTAGCAAATGTTACAACTTGTCAAAAAAGACTAATCAAAACTAATATTTCGAGAATTTCAATAACATGCTAAATTTAAAAATTCTCCGACAATCATACGCTAGTCGAATCCACAAATCGCACATGTCATCTCGAAACTCGTTTTGAGAAATATATCATAAACATATCGAATGGTCCAAATAGTTATCAAAAATAGTTTAAAATGCATCAAACGTGAGTCTTAAAATGAGGGGTTTAACTCGTCTTTTCTTTAAAGAATTTCAATTGTTATTATTTTTGCGATACAAATTTTTCAATATAATTT